TTTCTCTCTCTTCTCTCTCCTCCCTCCCCCAGCTTGTCCCCACTCAGAGGGTTCCTGCTTCTCTCCTGCACACAGACCCACTTACTGGCTTCTCTTCCTGGACCCAAAGGCCTCTCCCTGGCCTTCTATTTGCATCACACTCAGTCGCCGATGACCACTCAGTTACTGGCTCTTCGTCGAAATTTTCACCTAAGTCAGGTCAGCTTTTGTCACGTCTCGGCCTTTGTTGGCTTTCGTGTCTTGGCTTGGCTTTGCGCGTGTGTGAGGTTTGAGCAGAGAGCGAATTCTGGACAAATGTGTTTCAGTTTAGACTCCTCTTTGACTGGAAGCACGTCTCTTCCCCGGGCACCCCCACCTGGGTCCTCTCCCCGGCCTCTGGCTCTGGGACTGGGCTTGTCTGAGCTTCAAAAGCCGCTACAGGACAGAGCAGAGAGGACTTTCAGCCTCTCCGCCCACACGCATCTGCACTCTTTCTCTCTCTCCTCCCTCCCCCACTTGTCCCCCCACTGAGGGTTCCTGCTTCTCTCCTGCACACAGACCTCTTACTGGCTTCTCTTCCTGGACCCAAAGGTCTCTCCTGGCTCGGTGGCATTGTGCCCCAGGAGCTAATAAGGACAGCGCCCGTCCACCGTGCTTCACCTCCGTCCTGGCCTGGCGACTCCTGCCTGGCTGAGGATGTGATAACTAGCCTTGGTGAGCAGAATAAGCTTTTGTGTACCTGGAAACTCCTGCTGGCCTTCCCCCAGGGCAGCACCCTCCTGGGAGGCAGCTGGGGATGCCTTCGCCTGGAGAAAGGCACACTCCTCAGTTCACAAAGTTCTAGGTTTCCAAAGCCACCTGAAAGCCAGGAACAGCGGTTTGTGGCTTTGGGAAGGCATAGTCCAGGTGCTCCAGAGGAAGGGATTGGGGGGCGGGGGTTGAGGGGCACAGCATACTCAGTTCTTACCTGAAAAGTAAGATTTTTTTTAGTACCCCATATAATATTTAACAACAACTCTTGAACATCTGTAATTTTCCTTTAAAAAAAAAATCGCGGGCCCTCCCTGGTGGCGCAGCGCGTTAAAGCGCAGCACTGAGAAGCTAAAGCCTCTTCAGCATGAGTTTGATCCCGCCTGTCCCGGAGGTGACCCACAGGGCACAGCAGCCCTCTCCTGACCCGCCTGCTGCTCCCCTCAGCAGTGTGCTCCGCTGATCTGCCTGTTCTGCTCCCCATTCTGTCTCTGGCGAATCCTCTCGCCATCCCTGTGCACAAATAAATAAATGTTAAAAAAAAAAAGTCCCAAGCCTGTAGCCGATATAGTGGGTTGTTTTGTAACTTGTTTGGATAAACTTATGTAGAGATTAAGCAATACCTCTGACACTACCATCCGTTCTTTAAATCAAGGCAGGATAGAAGTTCATGAATAGATTAATAGGAAACACTTGCAGATTTCAGAGTATTATTCTCAAGGCTGTTGACTAGATAACACCTCTCAGTTAGATGATGCTTTGTGGTCTGCAAGGCATTTGCACATTTGATTTCTCACTTGATAGTCACAATAACCTGGGAGCCAGGCCTCTTGCTAGAAGCCCTATTTACAGAGAAGGAAGCCAGGCTTTTGGAAGGTCCAGTGGCCTCCTCCAGACTGCCCAGGGCTGAAGAGCCTTCTGAAGGCCAGACTTCATTTAACTGTTCTGCTTCCCGACCCCATGGACGGGTTCTAGGACCCAAGATGCTTTTGCATTCCTGCATTAAAAAATCCACCAGCTCAGTGAAATAGGCCAGAAAGAAAAAGAAAAATACCAGATGGTTTCACTCATAGCAGGACCATAAAGGACTGGGGGGAATAATAATAATAAACAACTATATACCAGAGACATTTTATGGGGGTGGAGTGGGGAATGAGGTCAAAAATGGAGCTGGGGGAGGGAAATGCACTGGACTACGGCAATGGCACAGGAGATTTGGTGGTGGGAAGCCCACGGGGATTGCAACTGAGATGGGAAAAGGCACAAAATGATGTAAAAATAAACTATTATAGTAATTTTTAAAATAGCAAAAAAAAAAAAAAACCCACCAGCTGTTTTTCATGAGTGTGGGGGCCGATGCACTGTTCTCTGTTAGAATTTGCGTGAGCGAATGAAACCGAAATAACTGACCGCTCGGAGCCAGGCCTCGCCTGCCCTCGTGCTGTGCCCTGCGACCCCGGTGGGCCCCCGGGCATCACGCGACATCATCAGGCAGGAGCCTGCTCATTTTAACAAATGGACACTGGCTGCGAGCGAGGACCCATGTGACCCTCCACGCCGGCCGACGAGGCCCCCGGGAGAAATCTGGATTGTGGAGGACGTGTGGGACCGTGGGGCGGGTGGCTTCGCTGATGCCTCCCTCTTCTTCTCTGAGCCTGCTTAGCCTCCTCTGAGGTCGCCTTGAGGAGGTATTCTTAAATTCAGCAGAACTGTGGGCAGAATTTGTATATATAATTAATAGTTTATTTTTCCATCATTTGGTGCCTTTTTCCATCTCGGTTGCAATCCCCGTGGGCTTCCCACCACCAGCTCACCCTGTGCCACCACCACAGTCCAGCGCATTTCCCTCCCCCACTGTTGCTGATCCCCTTCCCTGCTGCCCCCCATAAAATGTCTCCCCGTAGACAGCTGTTCACTACTATTAGCATTTTCTCGGGTGGGCAGAATTTTTAAGTAAGGCTCAGAGGGGTGAGAGTGGGGAGTCGTCAGGTGCGAAGGGAGCTGGGGGACAGGGCGGGGACCCTCGGCAGGCGCTTTGTGAACACTTTCATTTTGTGAACGTGACGACCTGCGTCTTAGAGAAGCTTCCTCTGCGTCATTCCAGGATTCTCACACCTGCCACGGAGGTGGGCAGAGATGTTCGTAAGGTCCGCACTTGACAGCAGAAGTGGAAGCCGGGAAGCAGGAGCGTTGAGTCGTTTGCCTGGAGCTCCCCAGAGGCGGGAGGGGTCCCCCGGCCTCACCCACTCGGCTGCCCCCTCAGCCCAGCCTCCCGCCTCTGCCCTTTCTGCTCCCTGCGGCCCTTCAGTCTCCCAGACCCTCAGTGCTGTCGGGGTGGGGCGTGTGGCCATGGAAATTTTCCAGTGCTGAGCTGTTTGTGGAAGAAAGTGGACCTGTCTCTGAGTCTGAGGGTCTGGGGTAACAGGACAGTCTTACTCTCAGCTCTGGAACATGCTTGTGCAACAGTTTCCAAGTGTGACCAGCCTCTTGCACGCTGCTAATGGAAAGTAGTAAGAGTTCCATTTTCCTGTTTCAAGCAGCGTTTCCCCCTTGGGGTTATAGTAACCACTTCCTCCTCAGCATCCAGTGGAACGTGGTAAACACCAGTGACAGCAGAATGCTGCCTTCGGAGCGCCTCACTGGGTTCCTTTTTTTCTCGTCTTTAAACACACACACACACACACACATACACACACACACGGTTCTGACGGCTGGCTCTCCTTCCCTCTGAGTCGATTTTCAGATATAGAAAGGCTCCCACCTTCGATACAGAAAGCCCATACATAGGTCAGGTGTATTTTTTTTGTTCCTTAAGATTTATTTATTTATGCAGACAGATCTGGGGTGCAGGCCAGAGGTGCAGGGGCGGTGAGAAGATTCAGCAGAGACAGAGTGGGGAGCAGAACAGGCAGAACAACAAAGTCCACTGCTGAGGGGAGCAGCAGGGAGACAGGAGGGGTCTGCAGTGTCCTATGGGTCACCTCCGGGGTGGGGATCGAACTCGTGCTGCTGGGGCTGGTGCGCTTTAACCGTTGCATCACGTGGGAGTGCTGGGTCAGGTGTCTTTCTCACCCTGCTGCTTTGCTATTTTGATACATTTGGCAGGGTTAGGGCTGTGGTTCAGCAGCAAGGTAGCCTACTCCTGGCCATTAAGAATGACAAAGCTCATACACTGCAGCAAAGGGGAGCAGGCAGAACTCAACAGCAGATAAAGAGTAAAGGAAGAAAATTGGATTCTTGGCCTCAGAGAAGATAAAGGCCAAGGAAAGAGTCGTGAAGAAAGAGTAAAAAACTTAAACAGAAGTATTGATTATATTGGGACCCTCCCGTGAAGCGCAAGGGGTTAAAGCGCTGTGAGGCTGTCCGCAGCCCCTGCAGCAAGAGTTCCATCCCCAGCCAGGGAGCGACCCCCAGGGCACAGCAGACCCCTCCTGTCTCCCCGCTGCTCCCCTCAGCAATGTGTTTCAGTGGATCTGCTTGTTCTGCTCCCCACTCTGTCTCTGGAGAGTCCTCTCCCCGCCCCCACACCTCTGACCTGTACCCCAGCTCTTGTATGCATAAATAAATAAGTCTTTAAAACATCCTTTAATACTTTTTTTTAATATTTGAATTGTTAGTTCTGGGTTACAATCCGCCGAATTTTCCCTAGAGCCTTTGAGACCCCTGCATGCTGTGCCCCGAAAATCACTGTCCTATAGAACCGATCACCTCTCTTCCGTGAGTGGCCCCTGACATCAAGAGGGAGGGAGACGTGGGCATGAGAGGCGTGCATGTGGAGGCTCCGAACACCCCCGTATCTGTCCTGTGCCTTGCTGTGGCTGAGCTGAAAAGGGGGGCGGGCGGCAAGTCACCCTTGGTCTGCGCATAACCTTGCTGCGTTACTAAGTAAAACAGTGGGCGAGCGGATCCCCAGCGTCTCTGGCGCAGATCTCTTGGGAGGACAAGCAGGAGCTTCCTGCAGCTCGGACTGATTTGCAAGAGAACCCTGATATAGAAACTTCAGTTGCAAACAGGCAAACAGGCTTTGCGCAAATAGATAATAAAACCAAAAGGCCACGAAATAGAGCCATGGAACATATATCTAAATATAACTGGATGCTAAATGTCAGCCTGTATCTGCAAGGCCGACAGGCCCAGCGGCCTTTTGCAGATTCGCCTCCTGGTCAAGGCAGGAGGGCCGCTGGCTGGGTGAGCGCCGAGACTCCGGCTGCCGCTGGGAGTTGGCAGAGCTGACCTCAGGTACCGCCTCGTCTGCTGTGATGTTCTTTCAGACGGACCGGCCCCCCGTGTTGGCCTTCCTGGAGTCACCCCGCCCCCCCAGCGAGGCAGGCCTGTTTCCCGCGGGAATCGCTAGGAGGGTGCCCTGGCCGCTCGGCCTCACAGAAAGCACGTTTTCCGCTCGTCGGAAGCGGAACGCCAGCGAGAAGGACCAGGCTTCTGAGTGTGACAGTCTTGGGGTACAGAAACCGAGTGTGGGTTCCTGTTTGCCTACCCACGTTCACACCTCCTTCGAGCTGGTTTGAAGAGGCGGTCCCACCCCAGGCACAGGCAGGCTGGCTCGTGCCCCCAGCCCCCGCCCGCGGGAGGCACCTTTCCCAGGGGACCAGCCAGACTGGGAATTCGAAGGTGCAGAAGGACAGTCGAGGCGCAAAGTGGGGGATCAAAAACATGCGTCTGTCGGGATGAAGCAGGATGGAGGAGGAGGTAACCTGAGGAAGCCACATGGAGCAGCGAGCATGTGATGGAGAAACCGGGCTGTTTCCTGGCCCTGGACTGGCTAAGGCAGATGTGGGTGAGAGGCCTGTAGGGAGGTGACTGTGGCCGTGTTTATATTGATTTTGATTTTGCTCTTTTCCTATCAGATTTGTCTGGCCATTTCTGACCCTTTTCCATGGGTCCCCGCCAGAAGGTGCCTTAGTCTCGTGGCGGCTTTCAGGCCTTGCTTTGAGCCAACCCCTTTTGGGTTGACTTTTTTTGCCCATGAGGGGACGGGTCACTTCAGGTGTTTGATTTGGAAGTTATATTCTTTGTGTTTCTTGTTGTATATTTACTGTATTAAAGTCTCTTTTCATTAAAAAAAAACACGCGCCTGCCTTCCCGGGCCACTACTGCAACTTCAAAACCGCTGTTTCTTGTTTCGCCTCTTCACATGGCCTTTCGCTCCCAGCACAGGCAGGGCAGGGCAGCCTTGTAAAGCATAAGCCCCACCGGTCATCCAGTGGTCCCAGTGCCGTCCAGCCCCGCCCCCCCCCCCACTCCCTCACCGGGATCCTCCGCTTACCTGAAGGACCACGAGGCACCAGATGAGCTTGGCTCACCCCACAACTCCCCCGGGCTCTCCCCACGCTCCCCTCCGCTCCCCTCCGCCAACTCATTCCTGCCACTTCGCTCCTGGCTCCTGCCCGTCTTCAACCCAGCCCAGTGCAGACCCTGCCTCCTCTGCCCCCTAGGCCTGGGGGGGCTCAGCCCCCCATTCCTGCAGCAGAGGCCCTGGCTGAGCAGCCCAGCTGAGACGCACCCCTTGCCCCTGCCTGGCTTTATTTTTCTCAAAACGTTAACTACTGTCACATGTGCGCTTTGTTTGTGACCTGCTTCTTGCCGTAGGACATAGGCTCCCTCGGCAAGACCAGAGCCGTAGGCTGCACCCCTGTGTTAGGGCAGCGGCCCGTGTCCGGCCGTGAACTCCTGGGCAGCGGCATCCATCCGCTGCTGGCGGGCATCCTGTTCCTGGCAGGAGCTGGCTCAAGGTCCCTGCCCGTGACCCCCTGGTGGAAGGTCACACACAGAATCCTCTTCCCCGGCCTGGTCCTACCAGGCCTTCTCAGCGCTGGGAAGGCCCCTCGCAGAAGACTCGAGCCCCTGGTCTTCAGCACCAGCCTCCGCTGAGCTGGGAGGCTCCTGGGGTCCCTCGGGCCCCCGGCAGGGAACAGTATTCAGTTTGACCTCACTGAAGCTGCCCAGAGGGGAGGAAGCTCCTTCTCCCGCTAACAGGGACCCAGGAGGGACTGTCCCCGGGCAGTGCAGAGTGGCCTTCTGAGGGAGCTGGGGAGCGTGGGCAGCAGCTTCTTCACCCCACTTGTTTGGTCAGTGGTCTGACGTTTTCTTGGTTGTAAAAGTCAACTAGCCATATTACAGAAATTGTTAAAACAAAGAATATAGGGGCCCTCCCTGGGGGCGCAGCGGGTTACAGCACAGCCCTGGGAAGCTAAAGCCACTTCCGCATGAGTTGGATCCCCGCCTGCCCCGGAGGTGACCACAGGGCGCGGCAGACCTCTCCTGACCCGCCCGCTGCTCCCCTCAGCAGTGTATCTCATCAGTCGGCCTGTTCTGCCCCCCACTCTGTCTCTGGCAAAGCCTCTCGCCGCCCCTGAGCCTCTGGCCTACCCCCGTTCTGTGTGCATAAATACATAAATCTTTAAAAAAAAATAATAGAAAAACAAAATAAAACAAAGAACATAGATCATAATCCTGGCAGTGAAACCATATTCTCTCACTCGCTGGTGCATTCGCGTCCGTATTCACTCAAAAAGGATCTGAGGGTGCTCACATCTTTCCTGCAGTTCCGTCGGCTGGACTAAATAGCTGAGAAATCAGAGCAGAGTCAAGTAGTTTTATCGAGTTCTGTGTAAACTTAGCATTGAGGAACGCTAGGTTTCCTCTCGGCCTCTTGAGATGCATGCTTTTTTATAATCTGTTGTGCTTATTCTCTCTCTCCCTTCATGATGCCACATTTTCCGTGTTTCTCTCTGGCCCTATTGTTAAGCACTGAAGGCTCCGGCCCAAGGATGTATCCCTAATTTATTTCATCAGTCCGCTATTGTTGTATGTTGGGTTATTTTCAATGCTATTGTTGCTGTAAACAATGGCATAATGAACATAGTTGTGCTTGTAACTTTTTCCATGTTTTAGTGTTTCCTTAAGTAGATTTCCAGAGGTAAGATAATTCAATGAAAAGTTTGGACATTTTCATGGCCCTTGAGAGCTCTCTCTGGGCCACTTTCCCAAGAGTTGTGCGCCATCGGGGTACCTCTATCCTCACCCACCCACCCACCACCCCCCCTCCCCGGCCTCAGAAGCACTGGCATGGATTATTTCCCCGGTTTTTGCTCCTGAATGGGGGCGCGTGACCTTGCCACCTGCCGTATGTGTTCTCTGACTTGCATGTCAGTTGCGAAGTTAAGTCCTGGCACCCTAAGAGGTATTTGTACTCATTTGTTTGAGTTACGTGTATACAAGGTATTAACCCTTCCGCCATCATTATTTAGTAAAATATTTTCGCCGGTTTATTTGGCTTTTCCTTTGGTTTGGTAGTTTCTTTGCTTCTGATTCTTAGAAGCTTTACACTGTGGAGCGTCGAAACTCTTGGTAATTTCCCTGTCGCATCTGCCCATTTACCAGGAAACTGTAGGCTGGGGTCAGCAGCGGTCAGCCGTAGCCATCCTTCATCTGGGTGCAGGTCTTTCCAGAGTTTGCCTCCTGCTCGCCTCCTGAACCTCCTTGTCAGGAAGCTGAGTTGGGTGTATCTAGCTGATTTGGCACTTGATAATTTTTTTTTATAATATAATAGTTTATTTTTACATCATTTTGTGCCTTTTTCCATCTCAGCTGTAATCCCCGTGGGCTTCCCATCACCAGATGGCCCTGTGCCATCACCATAGTCCCGTGCACTTCCCCACATCCCCATTTTCAATCCCATTCCCCACTCCACCCCTATAAAATGTCTCTGGTATATGGCTGTTCATTATTCTTGTTATTTTCTTCCCTGGTCCTTTATACTCCTGCTATGAGTGAAACCATCCAGTATTTTTCCTTTCATTTCTCCTTATTTTACTCAGCATGATCCCTTCCAGCACTCTCCATGTTGCTGCAAAAGGCATGAGTTTATCTTTTGATGGCTGAGTAATATTCCATTGTGTATATGGACCACATCTTTTTAACCCAGTCATCTACTTTTGGGCATTTGGGCTGCTTCCATGTTTTTCCAATTGTAAATAAAGCAGCAATAAACATGGGGGTACAGGTATCTTTTTCAATCGTGTTTTTGTGTCTTTTGGGTAGATACCTAGGAGTGGGATTGCTGGGTCATAGGGAAGCTCCATGTTTAGCAGTCTGAGGAACCTCCAAGCAGTTTTCCATAGTGGTTGTACTAGTTTGCATTCCCATCAGCAGTGGCACTTGATAATTTTTAAACTCTCTTTTCTATCACAAAATTACTTTCAGTATAGTCAAGAAATAAAAACTCATAATGAAATAGTCAGAAAGGAATTGCAGACTTCGAGTTCTGTGGTGTGATCCAGCCGATAAAAGAAAGTATGTGTGGAGGGGAGAGCTTTGTTGTCATCATGGACTTAGCGTGTATTAAAAAATAATGTGTATTTAAAAACACCTCAATGTATATTTTAGAAAAAGGGAAGAATTATACTTGCACATTTGGCTGTAGCTGTCATGAATAACAACACTGTAGTTTCTGTTCTTGAGCTTTCTATATACTTGTCAGGCTTCACAAGAACTCTTCTCGTTTGCATATTTATGCTCAGCAGACAAACCCTTATCCGGAGAGTGCTTTTTATTAGTTTGAATTTTGAAAAGTTTCTTTCACTTGAATCAACAGAAGCCTAAGTAGAAATAAGTCTGAGACGTAAGCACAGATTTGGCAGAAAGCCTCAAATTTCCCATTTCACAGTAAATGCTAGAAATTACAACGCTGCCTTTACCTTTATTTTGGGTTAATGATTTAGTCCCGCTACGGTTGAAAATTTTTAACATAAGTACAACAGTGGCCTCAAAATGTCAGGTTCCGTTTCTTGGGGTTTCTACTCTGCACTGTTGTTATTTCTGGTCTGTTCTCGCCACTCAGGATGCCCAGAAGCACAGGATTTGGGGGCAGAAACGCTTTGCAAGTCAGGCTTGAATGACTCGGGTCCCCGTGAACGTGCTCTTGAAACGCGGGGTGTCACCATCAGTGCCGGGGCTGACTTCAGAACTGAGAGCGCTTCCGTGGGGAATAAACATTTAGGAAAGATAAGTGACAGGGAAGCAAGGAGTAAGTGTGGACTGGCAGTTTGTATACATGTGATGAAAATAAAGCGTGGAGCAGCCATTATTTAAAATCAGACTAAAACTTGGAGGCAAAGACAGTGAGAATGTTTCGGTCAGAACTGCCAGCCGAGGATAATAAAAAGCTGGCCAGCATTTTTATGGCCTTGAATTCCCTGCAGACAACTTACCCCCTTAGTTCCTGCCCTCTGGGGCACACTGCTCCCGACCTTGGCTCTCGGTACTGCAGCTGGCTAAGCGGAGTGGAGCTGAGCCCAGCAGAGCTTTTGACTGTTCTGTGTACATTTTTGTTGTTCCTCTGCTTTTGCTCATCCTTTTTGAGGTCTGAAATCGTATCTCCACTCTTAACACCCCGCCTCCCGCACCCACACTGACAGCCACACGTGCACACATGGTCCTCATCTTTCGAGACTGGGTTTAAATGTTGCCGTTTCCATGAAGCCGTCTCCCAGAGTAACTAATGCCCTGCCGCCCCTTATCGGTGCCTCTATAAAGGACCTTAGCATTTTCCACCCTCGATTACAGCTATTTGGGCCTGTGTTTTTCCCCTTAGTGGACGGTGGGCTCCCCCAGGCCCCGGTAGTGAATCCAGCACATTGGCTGCTGTGTTACTGGACGTGCATGGGGACAGGCTATCCTCAGTGGCAAAGTACAAAGCAGCAGGCCTCTGTATTTTGGATTTCACAGAAAGAAGAAATGATGGGAAGCCATTCAGGGCAAAAGTCGCCCTGGGGCATCTCAAGGGCGCAGAGGGCTGGCTGGCCCCCTGTCGAGGCAGGTGGCACCATGCTGGGCCTGGTGGTGTTGGCTGAGCATGGGGCACCTGGCTCTGAGGCCTGGATCGGGGCAGGCTCCCCCTTCCTGGGCCTCCTCGGCAGGCGTGCACCTTCTCTGTAGTTGCTTCTTGCTCAGTGCTCCAAGTATCACCAAGCGCCGGTGGGGCTGTCTCCCCGACCCCAGTGTGTGGGAGCAAGCCACCCAGCGTGTTATCTCCTGCAGGGGTGATGTCAGAGAGTATGAGTGAGTGAGCTGCTGGGGAGAAGGCCCGGGAGCCAGCCCAGGGCTGTCTGCCTGGGTCCAGCTTCTGGCCTTTCTGGTCCCCCTCTCCCCCGGAGGCCCTGCGAGGCTGGGCCCGTGCCCAGGGTCTCCCACGTAGCTTGGGTCCTCATTAGGGCAGCATCATCCCCACAGAGCTGGAGAGCAGAGGCCCAGGACTCCACACACTCTCAGCGCGAGAGCCCCTGGAGGCCCGAGCCCACGTGGACGCTACGGCGGCAGCGTGGTGACCGGCGGTGGGTTCCTGCCCTCTCAGAGGTGTTTTGCTGCAGAGCTGGCGAGAGGAATGGTGACCTTGAGAGCTGTGCATGCTGGTGGCAGCACCCTCTGAGCGAGGCTGGCTCGATAAGAGGTGCCGAGTGGGTGGGCCTCCCCCCTGGGCCTCCCCCCTGGGCCTCCCCCCTGGGACCTCCCCCCATGGGCCTCACCCATGGGCATCCCCAGTGGGCCTCCCCCCTGGGCCTCCCCCCTTGGGCCTCCCCACTTGGGCCTCCCTCCTTGGACCTGCCCCCGTGGACGCCCCGTGGGCCTCCCCCCGTGGGCCTCCCCCGTGGACCTCCCCCGTGGACCTCCCCGTGGGCCTCCCCCCGTGGGCCTCCCCCGTGGACCTCCCCGTGGGCCTCCCCCGTGGGCCTTCCCGCGGGGCCACGCACCACATCCCGCCCAGCCAGGCTCCTCTTCTGAGTCCCAGCGCTCACGCCCCGCCTCCCGCAGAGGCCCTCGGCCCTCTGGCCTTGTCTTCAGCACGTCAGCGCGCTGGTGAGGCCTGTGCC